TCCCTGCCCCCACTTGACACAATTTTTACCTGTGGCCCCCTTAGAATATCCTGGGGCACACAGGGAGCCATATAGCCTTCTGGTAGAGAAATGCTGCTCTTCCAAACTCTCCTTCCTGCCAACTTTTTCCTAATTCCACTGTCAGGCTCTAAGCTGTCTGTTCCTTTGTCTGCCACTGGCCGGGGTTAAAGACAAGCCCGCTTTGATACTGTGTGCTGTCTGCATAACTGGGTAGCGGCTTGACAATGTGAATTAAAAGAAGGTAGATTTCTTCCCTGTGATTATGTTATGTGCCAGTGACAAGTGCCAGCTGAATGGAGAGAGGTCAGGGTCATTTCAGACGCATTGAAACAGGTGTGGACACCATCTACTCTCCAACAAACTCTTCTCTAATCCTTCACCACCCTTCCAGCAGTTGTTTCTCTGGAATACAAATCTGAAGGATCCATTTAAAATTCCCTCTAGGTTGTGCTGTGGAGATGGTTCAGAGGACATGCCTTGCAAGGTGTTCTAGGCTCGATTCTTCACACTGCATGACCTCCTGAGCACCACCAGGAGGAGTCCCTGAGGGAGCTCTGGCAGGATCCTGGCCTATCTCTTCACTTTCAGACCCCTGACTGGCCACTTCCTTTATTCCACTTCAAATACACCACCCATGCACAGATAATTTAGAGTCTTGGTGATTCTTTCTGCCTGGAAAGCCTTTTCCCACCTCAGTCAGCACTCCACCGAGAAAGAGTCATCTCTAGGCATTCGGTGAGGCAGGTATTAGGCACTGTGCTCAGGGCAAGGGAGGAATGCCACGTCTGACAGCTCACCATATCCTTCCTGTGCAACAGCCCTCAACATGCTGCACTGTCACCCTCTGCTTAAACGGGCCCCTCTCTCCTCTGAGGCAGGCCAGGAGTTTTGCAAGGACCTTCTACTCAGCACTGTATTGGCACGTAATAAAGAGGGAAGAGATGGACATGCAGAACATAAGGGCTACAATAGAAGAGAAGCAAAACAGGATGCCTAGTGACTGGCAGGGTGTAAGTAAAGACTGGCAAAGTATTTCTGTAATGACTCTGGTACTTTTAGGTTGGGTTAGGCAATATCCTCTTGTTAAGATTGGTATCAACTCTGAGAAGTACTTCATTCAGTTGTAAAGTCCCAGTTAAATTTCTTTGTACAACTAGAGAAATAATGCCTCTGATTAAAAACTAAAATTTCCCCAACTCTCAAAAAAGGAATGGGGGAGGGGAGCAGGTGTGGAAGAATATCTGATGTGTCGAATTCTTTAGTCAGAGCCATAAAAGTGTTTGGGTAAGACAATGCGATGTTCTGATAACGTTGATAAAAGTAACTTGAAGATTGGGTCACAGGAAGCCCAAGATAAATGCTGAGAGGAAACAGTTTCTTTTTTAAAGTAGCCTCTTCATAATCATTTTCCCACACATTTGTTCACCTTCCGAAGGAGGACCGAACACTTGATTTGCTTTGCAAATGAAATAGCTTATGAGACATACAGATAATGTCAAACGAATGTATTTAGAAGGCTTGCTTTCAGTTTAGGCTGTGGCTTCAGATGTCTGTTAACTTGCTGTTGGCTCTAACTGCACCTTACACTCTGGGTGTGTTTTTTTTGTGTGTGCAACTGGTTTTGGAAGAGATTTCTGGAGGACCTTCATGAGAAGTGCAATGGATAGTGTCCTCAGTTGCTTCCTAACAACACGATGGCGACTGAGTGGCACCTGGTGAGGAGAATGACTACCACAGACTCAAGGTCAGTTGGAGCTGCAGGGCATGTGGTGGCAGCTCTTACATATGTCAGGGCAAACCTTTCATTTTATTTTCACATTCTACAAACATGGAAACCTTTACACAAACTAGAAGTTGGGGCAAAGAAGGGAGCCAGCAAGGCCTCCTCCCCACATGGCAAAAAGCACATAAAAGTTCTCTGAAACTTGCTGAAAAATCAAAACTTCTTAGTGTTTTCTTGACTCTCTTAAACAGTCTAGTACAGAAGGTGTATAAATGTCATCAAAAGATTATGCAGTTAGAATCCCAGTGATGGAATTTTATTTTTCTTTTTGGTCACAACCAGCGATGCACAGGGGTTATTCCTGGCTCTGCACTCAGGAATTACTACTGATGGTGCTTGGGGGACCATTTAGGATGCTGGGATCAAACCCGAGTCAGCCTCATGCAAGGCAAATGCCCTACCCATTGTGCTATCACTCCAGCCTCACGATGGAATTACTTTTTAAAAAATTTTTTTTTCTCTTTGAGTCACACCCGGAGGTGCACAGGGGTTACTCCCGACTCACACACTCAGGAATTAATCCTGGTGGTGCTCAGGGGACCATATGAGATGCTGGGAATTTAACCCGGGTCGGCTGCGTACAAGGCAAACGTCTTACCCGCTGTGCTATCACTCCAGCCCCACAATAGAATTATTTTTGAAGATAGCTTAGGCTACAAAAAGTTTTGGAAAGAGATCATGATATTGTTTCTTACTAAGAAAATTCTCCTTTTATCATTTAGTGAGTTGCACTCAAAATATATACCTCTAGTTTCTATTCTCAAGCACCTGTACCAAAATCTGAATGACAGTATTTTTCATGGAAGTGAATTTGATCAAGAAAAAACTTCTTTAAAAACATTTTTCTGAAGGCCTGAGAGACAGTACCACAGGTAGGTCACTTGGCTTGCACATAGCTAATCTGGTTAAATCCCCAGCATCTCAGATGGTCCCTAAAGAACTACCAGGAGTGGTCTCTGAGTGCAGGGCCAAGAGTGAGACACAGTTGGGTGTGGCCCCAAAAACAAACCAAAAGATTCCTCCTAGCTTTCTATTTTATGATGATTTGTATTTAAAGACTCACTCAGTAAGAAACTTTCTCTTAACCATATGAAGCTGAAAAACGAGCACAATAAAAGCCTGCCTACTATATCAGGATGGAAGTAAACACAAACATAGTTCAAAAAAGAAAGCAGACCACTACTAAAGGCATTAGTAAAGATTTTTATTTCTTATTTAACCATGCTTCATGTATACATACAATATCAATATATACAACTTGAACAAATACAATTTGTACATAAAATACAGTGAAAGTGTGGTTTTTTGAAATAACTGCAACAAACTCATTTGTAATTTGTCTTTTTTGGCCAGTATACAATATAATAGTAATGCTACTGAAGTTATTAATGATTTAAATTAGTCAGTCTACAGTATGAGTTCAAAGGCACTAAGAAGATCTATGTTTTAATCTAGCAGTTTAAGAACAACAAATAACTTAAAAGGAAAACAAACGCTTACATTAAGAAACTGGGCAGACACTGGCATAATTAAATGTAAACTCTACCCATTCCTTAATTCACAGCCCCGTAAGGAAAGAGTACAACTTTCCTTAAGAATTAAAGGGAAATACATTTTTAAAATTTCAAATAAAAAAGCATCAATAACAAAAACCAATCTGAAGGGCATAATTATAATTTTAAAAAATGTTACAGACGAAGTAGCACCACCCTCTACTCCAAAGTAACTTTCTTAAATTTGCTACCAAAAAAAAGTTCCCTTTTCTTTTCAGAAAGTGGATGACATAGCTTGTCATATGAATTTTACTTAGAGAATAAACACATGGATACAGACCTCCCCACAGATTAATCTTATACTTTAAAAAGAGTCTTAAAAAAAACAGAAAACAAAAAACTTGGATTATCATATGTTAATATCCTAATTTTTAGTGTATAGTTACAGGGTATTAAAGAATATACCACAATTAACCTTCTACCAAGGTTCTTTTAATAAATAAATATTTTTAATTAAAAGAAAAGAAAATATCCCTTTAATAACATATATAAATATTTTTATGTGTGACACTCATTTTAAATCTACCTATTTCAAATAATGACCAATTTTTTTCTATATCCTTTCATGAAATTAACACTGAAGTTACAAAATATTTCATTTGTAGACAAATACATAATAGATGTGAAAAAACCATAGCACTGCTATGACTGGAGCTAAGTGAATAGCAGTAAAATCAGTGTTATATGGTTACTCAGGCCTGGTTCAAATATTTAATTTTGGTATTCAATATGATGAATATTTAATGCAGATCTGGTATAAGCAATTATAACAAAAATGCTTTTAAAAAAGAAGACTGCTTTAAAAATGTCTCAATGTTTTGACTTGTTATAGATTTCTTTCTGTTATTAGAAAAAAATCTAGCATAGGTTTAATATTTCTGTCTTAAAGGTAATGCAAAAAATTATTCCTTTCCTAGTAACTGGATTGTTCAAGGCTAGAAACAAGCACTTTCATAAAGTATCCATCTTTTCTACTAGCAAAATTAAATTTTCTCTATATTAATTACTAACAGAGTTAAGTGTGCTTCTTTAATTGCCAAGATATTCAGCTCATACAAAGCTTTTATAAGATAAATTCAAGTTTTCACAGTACCTAAACAATGCCCCACAGAATAAAGTAATAAACTTCTAACTTCCTTATATACTACAAAGAAAATGATGCCAACTGAATAAATTCTTAATTCCTAGAAAATAGTCACCAAACACAGGATATTTAGTACACAAATTTGGAATGTACTTTAACTTTATGGACACATTTTCACCACTGTTTCACAAATATACCATCTTCACTCACCTCACTCTATACACAGCTTTATAACTATAAACCAATATATAACCAAATGTATTAAAAATAATACTTTAATAAATACTAACCTATAAAGTCTAAAAGTTTGTAGCCAATGTATTCAAGGCTAATTGGAAACATCTTAATAGGTATAGGAGGAAGTAACTCTAAAAAAATTTCAGTAAGCAGTCAAACAAAACAATTTTATCTATTACAACTTAATTACTATAAAATAAAAAAATTATTATTATTTGGGGTCACACCCAGCAGTGACCAAGGTTTATTCCTGGCTCTGAGATCAAGGATCCTTCCTGGCAGGGCTATGTGGTGCCAGGAATTGAATCAGGGTGGGCCACATGCAAGGCAAGGGCCCTACCCACTGTGCTACCTCTCTGGCCCTAATTTTTATTTTTTGAGTAATATGACCCAACAATTTGTAACACAAGAAATTTAGGTAGAAGTCTTTTTATAAATAAAATAAAAACCAAAGTGTTTTAAAGACAAGTGATTAAAAGCTATTTTTCTTGCTTCGTTTCACTTTTTGGATAATGGAAATCACTCCCTATTGGATACAGAGCAATTTCCATCAAAATTTAGAATTCAAACACAAGAAAGCATTTACTTGTCACATCTCAAAGTGAGTTTGAAAAAACAATACAAATACATGCAGATATCAGTGACAATTTTCTGTAACTATAGCGCCTTTATATTTAGGAACAATTCACTGTCTCAAAGGAACATGAAACCAGAATAAAAAATATATACTTGTCTTGAACTCAAAGTGGAAAAAAGGTCGAGAGGTCCAGATGAAACATAGTCTTAAACTGTTTTTCAAACATGAATACATCCCAAAACTGACCATAAAATTTCCTACAGTAGATTAATAAGATCAGACATCTCATACTTCAATTACAATGAATGTTAAAAATTTAACTTATTTAAACAGACCAGGTGGGTTGTTAGGGTTGAATTATTCTCAAATATGCAGTTCATACATTCATATTTAACAGTACAACAAAAGACAATTAGATATGCTACGTTGCGTGCAAAAAATCCACCTTTTTTTCTATTTTGAAATTCCAGTTATCTGAATATACAGTAGTTGGGTAAACTAGTAACAGATTTATGTATACATTTCAACTGCAACTCTATAGTATGAGCTGCTCCTGCAACTTCCCTGCACAGTATAAGCAGAAGAGTAATATAATAATTTGAATGAGTATCAGTTGTACCAATTTAATATGTCAGGTTAACTTTATATAGACTAAAAGTTATTAGGCGAATTATCATTTCCAGTATTATTCCATGATTTACAGTTTCCATTACTTGAAATTACACAAAAGTCATCAGTGTTTTAATGAAAGATTTTTGTCCAGGCATGAGAATATCACTCATTTTTATTGTAACTTTAAGTCTGTAACATTTACTGGAGTAAAGAGTCAATTACAGTTTCAGGCTTTGCAGAACGCTTTCTGTTTAGAAAAGAGAAAAAGAAAACCATGAATGCTTTCTTAAAAGACAAAAACTCAAACATTTGTAGTAGATGATACAGGGAAGTCACAGTATAGAAGCAGACCAAAGTTTAACATGTTTGAGATCAGTTCAAGCTTTTTCAGCCTAAGGGAAAGTCATTCTGAGCAGGTGCTAGCTCATGGTACCCTACCTAGAGTGTTGAGTACTGAGTGGAAACACGTCTCCAAAAACTGCAAGGGACAATGTGGACTTCATGCTTGCCAGACCTAAACTACTTAATTATCTCTTTCCCAGATGAGAGAGGTGCTAAAGCTGTAGATTTATTCAGTGAAAGGCAGAGATACAAGTTAATCTGAGGCACCATCTCACAAAGGCATGCATGAGGAGGAACAGAAATACTCTATTAAGGTGTCACACTTATCACAATTTTACTTGGCACAATGAGTTATTCATTTCTAAATAGGAACATGACAATAAACACAATCATATAGTATAATATCAGGAAGTCCCTTATTGTTAATATTTCCCTATGCTTAAGACCATCTATTGTTTTCTTAGGGATTTCATAATATAGAAAGCTAACTCTGGCACACAGGTATTATGGTATGGTTCATCTAATGTTAGTTCACAGACTATACTATCTCTCTAGTCCCTAGAAGACATTCACATTTTTAGCCAGTTTATTTACTTAAATTGAAACTACATAAGGATTCATCTTAAATTCATGCCAAAATGCATATAATGCTAATGAAAGTTTCTTTGTAAGTATCTGATTAGAATACCTCCAAGACTTTCTTTTATGGGACTCAAAGACAGTACTCACCTTCTCCCTGTCTTGGGCCTTGCCTTCCCCTTTGAAGTCCGTGGCCGTTCCAATTTCATCAAAGACTGTCGCAGACTCTCTTCAGTATAGGCGAGATATACATGAGAAAGGTCCACTTCAAAGGGCTAAGGAAAGGAAACAACACTCTTATAAGACATTATCTAAACTAGATTTAGGGGTGATCTAAAATACTCAGTAAACTTGAGGGACAGTCAAAGGCCAAATAAGTGTTTAAAGATGATTTATTAATGTCATTTTCCTGAAATGCATTCATCAAAGATTGATGAGTAAGTCCCATGCCTTAAAATTTACTTAGATGAAAAACTACTGCTACCTTCCTTAAAGACGCAACTATTTTTTGTTGATTTTTAAGTAGACTAGCTCTGAAAAGAAAAGACACATTAGAATCTCTAGCCAGAGAAGCGGTGAGAAGAGTATTACGATCATCACCTCCATGGCACTCTTGTGGCATAAATGACAGACTTCCTCTCATGAATGAAGGTCATCAGAACTGTCCTAATCAGCACCCCATTCTAGAGTCTTTATTCCCAGACGATTAGTTCACTTTTCAGCAGACTTCACTGACATAATAAAATTTAGTGACCTATTTTCCCATAAAGAAACTAATTTTTTAAAAAAAGTATTCTTACATCTTTCTCTTTTTTATCAGAAACTGGAGTTTGTTTCCGCATATTATTTCCTGTATAGGCAACACATTTCTAAAAAGCAAGAGAAAAAAAGATGGGGGAGATTTGTTTTAATTAGTAATAATTATTATTAATAAGACAAATTGTCATAGATATGATATTACACTCATACAACATGCTCAACAGAACAGGACCCAGAGATCATTCAGCACTATGGAGCCCCAACCTAAACCATTTACAACCAAATATTCTTTGTGCTATAGTTAACTAGGAAAACATTATCCACCTTACTATAGGAAGTATCTCTCAAGTATTTCATAAAAGAATGAAAGCAATACTCACTAGCTGCCATTCTCCTATGTCTTCATTCCAATGGACATAGTTTTCAATCATTTCCTTTTAAAAAAGTCAAAGGTAGTCTACTTTTAATATGTACTATATTTAAAATACTATTCATACTTTTGTTAAATATTAACAAAAAAAGTTGTTTTAAAACACTTTTACTTCTTGATATATTCCCTTTATAAACTTTAAAATATATAATTTTCAGGAATATATAGATGTAAATAAACTATACATAAATGTCAGGGGATGAAGAACATGATAGGAGCCTTGGGTTAGATAGAAAAAGTGAAGAGGAGGCCACTTGAGGGATCTGGAGGATAGGACAGGGAGGAGACAGCATCTGTGGTGGCGGGAAGTAGCATTCAATCGGCAGGAGGCGGTGCTGAAAGGTGGTCAAGTGTTATGTATGGAGCACTATCTGCGACAGCATTGTAAACCACAGTGCAAAACTTCTAAAATTAAAAAAGGAAAAAAAGCGCCTCTCATAGAAGCAGTCTACTGGGAGGGAGACAACTGGGTGGGGGGCGTTGGTGGAAAAAAACGGACACTGGTAAAGCGATCAGTGTTGAAAAATTGTATGCCTAAAACCCAATCAATCATGAATAACTTTGTAATTTCAGTGACTGACGAAATAAAAAAAATTTTAAATAAAATGTTAAAGTTAAAAAAAAAAGGACAGTATTTGTGGCATATGTATCATGAATATACTAATGTTAATTATTAAGTATTAATTTGATAATAGTTAAAATGGATAATTTTATGTTGGACATATTTGCTTGGTTTTAGGTCACATCTGGTGATGCTCAGGTATTACTCCTGAATCCCTCCTGGTTGTGCTCAGGGGACCATATAGGATGCCAGAGATTGAACCCAGACGCATGCAAAACAAACTTCCCACCCACTGTACACTCTCTCTGGCATCTAATGTTTTATATATATATTTTAACACAAAAAGAATTAGCATATGTAGAAAGAAAGAAAAAGCACAAGAGTTCTGTTCTGTTAGGATAATAACAGGATAAAAAAACTGGATGAATAGAACCTACTTTTTGATAATGACTGCAGTTACATAAATCCTGGTTTCTTTAAAGGGCTGATACTCTCTTATTTATATACTTAAAAACCATGTGTTAAGAACAAGTAAGAATAGAGGACAGAGAGTTAGTATGGTAAGGCGCTTGCCTTATCCTGGTCTGAAAATCCACCACAGCATGTGGCTCCCAAAGCAGTGACCCAGGATTAAGTCCTGAGCATAGCAGGTGTAGCTCAAACCCCATAAACACACACCCAAAAAAAAAAAGAAGGGAAAAAAAAAGAAAGAAAATTAAGAACTAAAGTGAAATCTAATGGCATTAGTTCAATAAAATGTTATAGTCATAACTAAAAGAGAGATATTAAATATCAATTAAACTAGAAATTCTCCTTCCTGGTCTGGAGACAGTACAGGAGGGGAGAGGTAAAATGCCTCCTTGCGTAGCCGCGTATGGTCCTTGAGCACCACCAGAGGTCACTCCTGAGCACAGTCAGGAGTAGCCCCTGACTCAAACAGGTAGGGCTCAAACACCAGAAAAGAAATTGTATTTTCTTATTTCTTAATCCCTATCTGTTGACCTCACCTCTAAGTCACTTCTTACTTAGAAGCCATCTTCTTACCTGATAGTCCTGGGGTATAAAGTTATCAATAATAAGCATCTGAAGTCGAAGTTCCCGACTAAGTTGTCGGATATTTTCCAATAACCCTTCAATTTCTCTCTGATGTTCTTGCTGAAGATCAGCCATCTACCAGAAAAACAAGGAAATTTTTTGTCTTTAGCAAGACAACTGTTTTTTTTTTCTTTGTTTTTTGGGGCACACCCGGAGATGCACAGGTTACTCCTGGCTCTGCACTCAGGAGTTACCCCTGATGGCACTCAGGGAACCATAAGGGATGCGGAGATCAAACCCAGGTCAGCAGCATGCAAGGCAAATGCCCTACCCACTGCACTATTGCTCCAGCCCCGACAAAACATTTTTAAATACAAAAAGTTCCATATGCCATTGGTAACTGGTATAAAAAATGGTTTGAAATCTAACAACAAAACAATAAATAGGGCTAACAACTAAAACAATAGATTTAACAACAAAACAATAAAGAGGACCAGAGAGTTGGTGTGAGGTTAAGATACTTGCCTTGCATGTGGCTGCAACAAGAGCTGAATCTCAGCACTATGTATGGTCCCCCAGCACTGCCAGTTGTTGCCCCTGAGCAGAGAGCCAGGAGCAGCCCCTGAGCAATACCAGATGTGGCCAAAAACAAAAAACAAAAATGAAGAGAATAACATTCTTTATTCCATATGAGTTAAGGCCAAAAATAATTAATTTGCTGGAGTGGCTAAAATTTCTTTGATTTGGGGATTACACACAGTGCCAGGGATCAAACCCAGGCCTCCTGCATGCAAAGCGTACACTTCAGTCTAGTTAGCCATTTTTCACGTCTCAACAACTAATGTTTAATTGCATATAAAATTTCTTTAAAACTATAAACACATAGGGGCTGGAGCAATAACACAGCGGGTAGAGTGTTTGCCTTCATGCGACCGACCCGGATTCAATTCCCAACATCCCATATGGTCCCCTGAGCACCGCCAGGAGTAATTCCTGAGTGTATGAGCCAGGAGTAACCCCTGTGCATTGCCAGGTATGACCTAAAAAGAAAAAAAAATTATAAACACATAGCAGTACTATGGCAGGTCAGAGGAATGAACCAGCTGACCTGGGTTCATTCCTCTTCACCCCATATGGTACCCTGAGCCCCACCGAGAGTCATCCCTGAGTGCAGAGCCAGGAGGAAGCCATGAGCACTGCTGGGTGTGGCCCCAAAAGACAAAATTATAAACACACATTATGATTCCTCTAAGACTCAATGCTATGTAAACAAAAAAATATTAAAAAAAGAAAGAATGGCTCAAGTGGTAGAGCACATGCCTTACCTGAGAATTTGAATTCCATATCCAACACTTAATGAGTCTCTGACCTCTGCTCCCAAGTACTGCTGGGAGCACCTGCCCCCGCAAAATTCAAAATCACATTAACAAGCAGATTCTAAGAGACCAACCTCTGATTTTGCAGCCATCAGCATAGTCCAAACTTTCTTTAATTTCTTGGTCTTTCCTTGTGCTTCCTCTTGCAAACTGGTATATTTTTCTTCAATATCCAAGCGTTCTTGCTATGTCAAAAATATATAAACTTCAGAATAATTTTATTAAATTATATATATTATAATCATTATAAATGTGCAGCAGCTACCCTTTACAAAGTACTCTTGAACATACAGGTTTTGAAGTGATCAGATTAATTTATAGATAGATTTTCCCTTCTTCTATCTCCTCATCCTCCTTACCATGAAGATAAAGATGAAGACCTTTATGATACTCACTCAGGATTTTCTTAAGAATATTCTCCCCTTGGCTTACTCCAGTATATTATACATATGCAAAATAAGTGAGTTTATTTGTTTGTATTATTATATTATTACTAAGGCTTTTGGTCAAGAGCAGGTCATCAGAGATTGGAGATATATATATCTTATATATATACACACACATATACATATATATAAATATATATTAATACATATATGTATATATGTATTTAATGTAGTTTAGATAATAGCAATCAATGAATATTTCTAAAGTTTCACTAAGATTATTGATACTTAGCTTCTTGCTACAAAAAATAAAATGTCTTTAGCAAGGTGCCAACAAAAAGCAAAAGTTTACATTACCTCTTTTTCTTCAAGTTCTTTGCGAAGCTGCTCTGCTCTTTTCCTCCTTTCTTCCAGTTCCATATTAGATTCTTCCAGAAGTTTTTCTTGTTCCTCAGCTTTTGCCAGTAAATCTACACCACCAACAATCACCTTCTTCTCCAATGCAGATAACTTCTCTAGCAAAGTCTGATGTTCTTGTCTGTTAATTAAATGAAAACACTCTAGGAGCTGGAGAGATAGTACAGTAGGTGGGGTATGTGCCTTGTCTGCAGCCAACCCAGGTTCCATCCCCAGCACCCCATTTTGCCAGGAGTGATCCCTGAGCACTGAGCCAGGAGAGGCCCAAAACTATATCTATCTATACATACATATATACATATATTATATATATATCAACTGCTATTCCAAAAATTAACAATCTAGAAATAAAATTTATTTATTGCTTTTGGGGTTACACCCAGCTATACTCAGAGGTTACTCCTGGCTCTGCACTCAGAAATTACTTCTGGTGGTGCTCAAGAGACTATACGCAATACTAGGGATCAAACCCATCTTGGCTGAGTTCAAGGCAAATGCTGTACCTACTGTACTATTGCTCCAGCCCCTGAAAGTAAAATTTCTAAAAAGAATTATAAAAACTTCATCAAATAAAACCACTGTGAAGCATAAATTATTCATTCTTTAATTTTAATTTGCTAATACTTTTTTCTTCTCAGAGAGAGGAAATAATCAAAACGTGTTTTTCAGAAAAAAAAATCTAGAAACATACCTTCTATCTCAAATTAGCTGCACTGGAGACAAAAAAGCTTTTACTTACTGTTCAATATTCTTACTTATGCATGCTATGAAATAGACTAGAAATTTTAGTTTCAAATCCATCTCTACTTAGTAATACTCACTGGGCCTTAAGAAGATCTTTTTCCCGTTTCTCTAATTCAGCTCTAGCCTTATTCCTTTCTTCTTCTTCCATATCAAGCTTTGTTTCAAGTGCTTTTCTCTCCTCATCGATTTTTGCTTGCATTTCAACCATCTTATCTGGGGAAACTTTCTTTTTACCTATTAGAGCCATTTAATAATTACAACAATCACTCTAGACTCAATGTTTTATTCTTATATAAATCATCTTTAATATCTGAGATATAATCCTTAATAATACAAAATAAAAATATCAAGACTGTAAGAAGGTACATAATGTATTTCTATCAACTATCCCTAAAGAAATTTTTAACAAACTGATAAATTAAAACTATCATTCAGTTGCCAATGTAACACAAAAACAAAAATAAGCAATAGAAATAAGCAAAACAGATGAGCAGGAAAAAGGAAGAGCAACAAGAACGCCAAATAAAAAAGCAGAGGGGTTGGGACGCAGCTCAGTGGCAGAGCACCTGCCTCTCATATACGAGGCCCTAGGTGTGATCCCCAGAAATTTAAAAGTAATAATCTAAATATATGTGTTTTCAAATAATAAATATGTTCAAAAAAGCAACAGAATTGTTTACTTTTCTTCTAATACCTAGGTATAACATCAAGCGGCTTCTCAAAATATCACCCACAATTTATTAAAGTGAATGAAGGACAATTTTGTCACAAAATTCAGATAGGGTGGGTGTTGTGGCTCAGTGGAAGGTATGTGAAGCCCTGAGTTCGAGTTTTTGAACTACAGGGGGAAAATGCAGATAAAATATCACATAGTTTTTAATATATTTTTTAGAGTTTTACTAAAATTTTTAATTAACTTTAACAAAAATTTTTTATCTGAAAGTATTTGAAAATATACTTCCAAGTGAAAACATTTAATACTTTTTAAATTAATTATATAATATTTACATAGCAATTAGGCATTTCATATTTGCTGAGCTGTCATGGATATAACCTATCCTGAATGAACTACAATAACTATTACAAAACTCAGCATTCTAAGTCAAATTAAATATGTCAATATCAAACATAGGTAGAATTTCTACCAAATAATAAAGCTGTAAATATAACTTCAAATTCATTTTTCACTATAATGTCTAAAATACTGCTTTATATACATAAAATAGGTTTTCCCAAAAACAGTTGACTTAATTTGAAAATTTGAAAAAATAAAAAATTAAAATAGCTTATTAAACTGATAAGAAACAGAATAAAAGATAATACACTTTTCATAATACAACTTTGAAATATACTTTCCTTCAGAAAAATGATCAAACTTTTGGTAGAACTGTTCTGATGTTCTCCTGAATTTTTTCTGTCATCTTAATTAACTTCCTTCCCAAAGGATACAGGATAGTATAAACTGTTAATTATCCTACCCAAAAGTTAACCCCTCCTGATAACAAGAGAACTGAAAAATGATGATGACAGAGACATATATCAAAATAAATTCTTTCAAGTACCATGAGACAAAGAATAATTCACAAATTTTTTCTTCTGATAAAATAATATTAAAAACAGCATTTAAAATACATTACCCTTCATTTCTACAAAAATGAAAGTCCAAAGCAAGCTTAAACCACAAAACAAATAAGCTAAATAAAAGAGTAAATTAAAGCATTGATCTAATTTCATGCTCTGGTGTGGTGTGATTCATTGCATTCCAAAAGTCAGGGTTTTGGACTGATTCTGTTAGCCTCTCTGGCATAACTGTATGTATCAGATATTCTATTGGATGTTCTGAATGATGCTATTAAAAATTAATTAAAAATCTAATTTCAGTAAATTTCTGGAATTTGTCATTGTTAAAACTCTTAGGTCTGAGGTGGGGTAGAATAAGTTCAGCTATAAAGTTAGGCACACGAAATAAAAATATTTTTCTTTTACTTAGGCCAGTTGATATGACTCAGTAGTAAAATGCATGCATTATATGTGTGAGTCCTGGGTTTAATTCCTGGCGTCACAAAAAGTATATGTAAGTTCCTTTCCACTTCAGAACTAAAAACACTTAAAAAAAAAAAAAAGGGCAAATAAGACCAAAAAGTGTGAAGATATGAATACTAGTAGCACTGTAGCACTGTCCTTCCATTGGTCATCAATTTGCTCGAGCAGGCCCAGTAACGTCTCCATCGTGATAACTTGTTGTTACTGTGTTTTGGCATATCAAATACGTCACAGGTACCTTGCCAGGCTCTGCCGTGCAGGCAAGATACTCTCGGTAGCTTGCCGGGCTCTCCAAGAGGGGCGGAGGAATCGAACTCAGGTTGGCTGTGTGGGCCGTTTGCAAGACAAACGCCCTCCTGCTGTGCTATCGCTCCAGCCCATGAATACTAGTAGTATAGATTAATATATGTATGCTAATCTTTTTTACTTCCATGGTTCTCTTCTATTCTTCAAAATATATGTATATATTTTAAAAAAACATAGAAGCTCTAATTTTCTAGGCTTCTATAGTTCTCTTCTAATCTTTAATATATATATTTTTAAAAATCCTGAACTAAAGATGATCATACAATATAGCTAGGTTGAGTTTCAAAGTCTGTAACATTCTTACAGCCAGAATTACTCAATAAATTATATTATTTTCAAATACTTTAAGCAAAATGTGTGCTAACTCCCTTAATGAGGCATTTAAAAATGTGACATCACTATGTCATTTTCACATTAAATTTTTTTTTGGACCACACCTGGTGATGCTCAGGGGTTACTCCCAGCTCTGCACTTAAGAATTACTCCAGGCGGTGTTTGGGCGAATCATATGGGATGCTGGGGATCAAAACAGGGTCGGCCATGTGCAAGGCAAGTGCCCTGATTGCTGTACTATCACTCTGGTCCCTACATAAGTTTTTATATATATTTTTAAAAATCTTAATCAAACCAAATAAACAAAAATCCTAATATTACATGATAGAACTCAGTAGAAAATTTCAAGTTAATATAATAAAAATGTTAGTCATAAAGAATTTAATTAAGTTAAACAAGGTATATTTTTCATTGCCCTTTGCCATGTGCTCTAACCAAAACTGTGAAGACTAATTTTAGCCAGGTAAAAAAATTTCATGGAAGTGTTAGCTGAATTAATTTTATTTTTGTTAAATGAGTGCTCAAAAGTATAAGTAAGAATTTTTAAAGGGAAGGAAAAAAATGCTTAAATCATAATGGTATTTTCAGTATTTGGTTTAATGGAGCTTTAAGAATTTAGAAAAATGGAGGGCTTTTTTTGTTTTTGTTGTTCGAGTGAAAGGTGAAATATTTGTTTAATATAAAAGACAGATACTTACCTTATAAAAATATTTTTAAAATTAAAAATGTAATGTAGTTAAATAATAAAGTTGTTTACAGTTTAAATAACTGAACCACGTGGAGTGCAAATCAATCACACCAACCTGCTTGATCTTTCAATAAGAAGTAGTAAGCAAATCGTAGACAGGAAGCATATGCACAGAGATGAGAAGAAAAAAAAAGCATTATTTCTTTTGTAAAACAAAAAATGTATAAAAGCATTCATTTCAAGTATAGAAATCATTGAAATTGAAATAGAGCTATTTTATATTTTAAAAAAGCATACTTAACAAAAACAGATCTAAGTGAAGCAAGGAAAATAAGATTAATTTAGTCTAAGATTACAATTTAAATAAGCCTCTAGAGTTCACACTGATGCCCAAAGTCCTACAATTATTAACAGTTCGGTACCACATGTCTATACCACCAAGAGACATAGAATTGGGAACCTGCTAATAACGGGGGGAATAAAAGAGCAAAACAAAAGTAAGCCAATTTTTTAATTAGCACGTTAAAAATAGTAAAATTTAAATTGTCCGTTTAAAATTTTCCCAATTCAATGTTCTAAAGATCCGTTACAGGTGTGCCCCCCTTTAAGAAAGTAAAACACAAATTTCTCAATCAACAAAGTAGATAAATTATAGCAATTTGCAAGCACTATTTGAGTAACAAAAGATTTAATTAAGAATTATTTTTAAGTATAAACCTCCCCCATTACATTTTATCTCCGAGATTTATTTATAAGCACTTCCCAAGAAAAAATATACATCGCATAAAGTGAAGTACACCTGCACAAGAAAACATTGCATTCAATTTATTGGTGGACTGTTAAGATTTATGATTCTATTGAAGTAAATGATCAATTGCTGATACAAGCAAAGAATGTTTAAAAACATACCATTCATATGTTTAATAAGAAAGATACATACAAGTTATGCATAACAACCACATGCTGATTCATCTTCTCTCCACCTAACCAACACACCCATGTCACAACAAAAGAACTTAATGTCTGTCTCAGGTATGCAAATAATAACTAAAATTGCTTGACTTGACAAGTAATTTCACAATATACTTCTAATATGTAATTACTCTAAGATTTAAGGAAAGTGTTAAAATAGAAATTTTAATTTTTCCTCCTGCTAACAGATATTTTCTAATATTTCAGTTTATAATACCTCTAATATGTTTTCTAAACTAATCAATTATGTTTTCTAAAATAATCAATGTTTTGATAAAATTTAATGAATAACAGTAGAGAAAATTCCCTACTAAGCTTGGAATTCTTTCTCTAAAAAGCTAAAAGCTTAAGAATAATAACCAATAGCTTTGGGAGGTTTGGGGCTTTATTTTGTTTGGGGGCCACACCCTGGCTATTTATGGCTTGGTGTTGGGGAGATTATAAAAAGGGGGGGAAGCACCTTCTGCATGAAATACATGCATTCTGTCTACTGAGTGCTCTTCTCCAGCCATTTATGTTTGTCATTAGTTTTGGAAAGGTTCTATCTATAGGTAATGCTTTAAAAGTTAGTACGCTGCAAGTTAGTACAACAGGGCGTCAATATCTTTCTTCTGGAAATAAATAATACTTTGGGGTGGGGAGAGAACTCGAAGGGCTGGAGCTCATATTTGGTATTTTAGAGCCGTGAGTTCAAGCCCCAGCACCCACAGATCCTTCACTACAAGGAACCAAGCCCTGAGCACCCTGACCACCAAGCCAGAAGTAGCCTGACCACCTCCAGGTTAGCCTCAAAACAAAATAAAACAAAATTACTAATACTTAAAACTTAATTATTAGACCCATCCTGTATAAATGCTTCCTGTGTATCTGAATTCTCTAATCATACTCTTACAAAGTTTCTAAAATAAATTAGGAAAATTAGAGCTAGGGACAAGTACAACTTCATATTAAATACTTTATCTTTACTGACTTCAAACTCTACTTCTGTCTTTATTTGCGATTTTTCAATCTTAAGTTATGCCTAAGAATAAGACACCAAAATGTAAAATCTTTATATTTTAAGACATGTTATAATGGATAGCAGTGCACTTAAAAATATAACATACTTTTAGAAATTCAGGATTGGTTATTACATGTTCCTAACACTGATAGAGATTAAAATTTTATCCTGTAACAAAGAAGTCAGAAGATTTTATCTTTTATACAGCTTACTTGCTCTTTTCATTATCTCAACTGCAAAAGCATGAATCTCTCTTCCATTTTCTCCAACAAAAACTTAGCACATGTTTTAATAATTATGGTTAACTGGAAGCAATGAAGGGGGTGGTAGAAATTATCACATGCTTTGCTCTGCTTAGAAGTTAAACAAGTATTCTTTAAGTAATGAGAGGGAGCAGTGCAGCAATTCTCAAATGAAGCCCATGGATTATGGAAAAGCCAAAGCTCTGTTAGAGAATTTAAGAGCTACCACTCACTAGGCAAGAACTTATCCAGAGGTTTCTCTATGACAGAACATGTAGAGTCTGAACTACTGCTGCTGCTACTGCCTGGAAGACAAAGAAACGAGCCCAACGGATCCAAAGAGAGAGGAGACAAGTAAATAAACACATACACAGAGAAAAATTCAGTCCCAGAAAAAAGAATTTAAAGAAGAATTAAACTTTGTATTAAAAATTTGCTTCCCTCTAAAATCAGTCTTGGTAGTTTACACACACTGTACTCTACAAAGCCATAGAGGGGAATTATCATCTATTTCTTTGAACATTCATAAATCTCACTACCTAAAAAACATGAGAGTTAAAATAACAAGGAAGAAAATCATCATTTGGTGATACATTTATTTAAACTGTGTTTAGGTTGATAAACTGGTTGATAGATTAAAGGAACTGAATTTTAAAATTTAAATCATGCAAGATTAAAATTATAGGGATGATTAATCACCACTCATTAAACAAATTAATTTGTCTCCAATTCCATTCTTTTCCCCCTAAAACATCAACCTGTAGCACTATAGCACTGTCCTCCCATTGTTCATCGATTTGCTCAAACGGGCACCAGTAACATCTTCATTGTGAGACTTGTTGTTACTGTTTTTGGCATATTGAATACACCCCAGTGAGCTTGCCAGGCTCTGCTGTGCAGGCAGGATACTCTCGGTAGCTTGCCAGGTTCTCTAAGAGGGATGGAGGATTTGAACCCGGGTCGGCCTCATGCAAGGCAAACACCCTACCCATTGTGCTATCAATTATCAACATCCACCTAGCAGACATGAATCCATGTTTAAGGTTTCATGGCAAAACCTTGAAAGGCTCACTGAAATGTGTTTTAATTTCTAAGTCTAGAAGTAATATTTTAATATTTTAATATTTTCAAATACCAAGCAACGGTATTTTTCTATTTAAATTTATTGTGTTTTGTTTGGGGCCACATCCAACAGTGCTCAGGACTTATTCCTGGCTCTGTGTTCATGGATCACTCCAGGCAGGACTCAGAAACCATACATGGTGCAGGGATTGAACCCAGGTTGACAGCACATAAGGCAAGTGCCCTTCCCAATGTACTATTGCTCCGATCCCTTAAGTGTTATTTTTTAAAAAATTTATTATCTGCTTCGAATAGTATATGCTATGAACAAACACTCCAGACATAAAACCAGTACTCTAAGTAGGAATCAGCAAACATTTTCTATGCAGAGACAGAAAATCAATGCTTCAGTGATGCAGTCTCATGTGAAAGCCATAAACCACATGTGAATAAACAGGCATGGCTACTAAAGAAAATGTAATTTGCAAAACCAGGTGATAGGCTGGATTTGTTCAGCATACTGTACTTGCCAACTCTGATCCTGATGTTACAGAACCTTTAGAGCTTTATAATTTGGGACACCTGATAAGTGATGATCTTACTTGCTGCAAGATCATTTTACTAAAATAAGCAAACTATAAATTAGCTTGAAAACAATGATTTATGTTAATGGAAGAGAGTTCTGACATCAATAAAAGGTTTGAAATACAGGCCATTATAATATGTCTCTCTCCTGCATGTTATGTTTCCTTATCCTGATATAGTCATAACTTACATTTGGCAACAATTGCCCCAAAACAGGGAGGAAACAAAAAAAAAAGCTAAAATATATATATTCTTGAACAACTTTTCTACTTAAAAAGTCACTGACCTGTTCATTTTTGGGGTCAGACCCAGTGGTGCCCCAGGCTTACTCCTGGCTGTGCTTGGAGGACTATATGGGGTACATCTTACCCACTGTACTCTCTGGCCCCAAGTCAGTTACTTTTAAAACTTAAGTATACTTGAGAAAAATTTGTATTACTGATTTCCAAAAAATACTTTGGCTTCAAACACAAAGAAAAACTATATAAAATGAAAATGTTACTTGACATTTTTAATGGTGTGCCAACTAGCATACCTTTTTACAATTCTAAATTTTAAAAAACAGAACACATGACATTCTATTCAGTTACATATAGTAGGCCAGTAAATAAGAAAAATACAATGAGAAATTAACCATATATTGGCACATTACTTCTATTCATATTATTACCATAACTGAAAACTGCAAAATAAAAGGAACACATTCAATGGCATTAGGAATGTTAAAAACATCATTAGGTAGCAGTCCCTGTTAATTTCTGGAACAAAAAAACTTACCCCGTCTTTTTTTCCTTTTCTCGCCATCTTCTCCAACCTCACCTTCTTCCTCATCATCTTCCTCTGAACCACTGATATCAGAGCCTGATATTTCTTCCCCTTAAGCAGGAATTCAAGACAATAATTTTTATTCTGAACTAGATCGTTGGCTATTTAGAAAATGCCTATATTAATCTTCTCATAGTAAGTTGATACTACATTAAGCAACAACAGCAGCAATTTATTTTAATATTTTTACTCATATCTAATTTCTATATTAGATATGCTAAACTCAGAAATGATATACACAGATATCATGTTTCATTAGTTGTTCAGGCACTACACCTGGCTGTGCTCAGGGGCCAGGGTCATACCAGGTGACACTCAGGCACAACAGGATATCCGGCCACATAAGGTGATATTTATGGAGGAAGGGCAGCGTGCTGGGAAGGAGCTCAGGCCCCACACAAACAAGGCACATGCTCTACTACTTTACACTGCATTCCCAGCTCCAGAAACTTCATTTTTATAGTTCCTAAACAGAAGTTAAATTCTGAGCCATTAGAAAAGTTATTAGTTTAAGTTATAGTTCTAAGTACATAAAAAATTACAGACTAGAATTATTATTTCACTCTACAAAAGTCGTCATGTAGGGAGCATTTTCTCTTTAGTTTCCCCTTTAAGATTTTCATTCAACATGTGTTTTATTTTTTTCACTTTGATTTTGTTTTTAATGAATCTTAATTTGAGCAATTTAAAGTAAATAATGATCAAGAGCATATTTTGCACACATGAGGCACTGAATTCAAACTCCAGTAGCACAAAAAAGAAAGAAAGAAAGAAAGAAAGAAAGAAAGAAAGAAAGAAAGAAAAGAATTACTTTATGAGACAGTAATTCACTTCTGGTTAGTAAATGAAAAGAAAAATGCAAGACAGGAAGATAGTTCAAGTAGCAGAGCACAGTCTAGTATGTACAAGGCCCTGAATTCAATTCACAGCAGATATCTCTGACCCTCCATAGTCCTCCCACCCTGCTTGCAACACCACCAGGTATAGCCATTTAAAAAAAAAAAAAGAAGAAGAAGGGCTGGGGAGATAGTGCAAAGGGCTGGAGCCAGTGCTTTGCATCCTAGAGCCCTGTACTTGAATTCCCAGACCTGCATGGCCTTCAAGTAGCAATAGAGGAAACCTTAGAACTGAATTAGGGTAGTCCAATAACAGGGAAGGAGAGAGGAAGGGGAGGGGAGGGGGGGAGGGAGGGGGGGAGAGAGAGAGAGAGAAAGAGAGAGAGAGAGAGAGAGAGAGAGAGAGAGAGAGAAACTAATTCAAAATATATACTCATCCCTAAGTACATTGTATCATTATTTACAATGACCAACCTAAGTGCCCATTATGGATGAATGCATAAAGAAAATGCTCAGGAGTGATTCCTAAGTGTAGAGCCACGAAAAACACCTGAGCACCACTAAGTGTGTTCCCAAAGCAATACAAAAAATATTACAGAGGCCAGAGAGTTAGTACACAGGCTAATGACTACTAGGAGCTAAGAGACCTCTCTCTTCCTCAGCCCCTGGTGACCATTACTCTAGTTTCTATCTATAGAGATTTAGTACTTAATGAGTATAAAGTTTCATTTTGGGATGATTTTAAAAGTTCTAGAGAGAGGCTGGAACAGGGGTTTGCCTTGCACATGACCAACTTGGGATCAATCCCTGGCACATATGGTCCCCTGAGCATCACCAGTATTAATTCCTGAGTGCAGAGCCAGGAGTAACCCTTGAGCACCGCTGGGTGTACCCAAAAAGCAAAAATAAATAAAATAAAAAAAACAGTTAAAGAAAAAGTTCTAGAGAAGCCAGACAGCTAATACAGGGGTTAAGACAATTGCCTTGCATGCAGCAGGTTTGATCCCTGGCTCTGTATGGTCCCTGAGCACTGCTAGGAAAAACCCCTAGGCATTAGTGTAGTCCCAATCCTCCCCCAAAAAAGAATAAGTTCTACAGATGGATGGTTTGTGATGAACAATGGAAGTATATTTAATAACTGTGCACTTAAAATGATTTCAGTGGCAACTTTTTTTATATATAGCTGCCAATTTTTTAAAAATTTTAAATAAAGTCTCCATTGGAGACTTTGTTGTTACTGTTGTTACTGTTACTGTGTCTGGCATATCAAATACTCTCGGTAGCTTGCCGGGCTCTCCGAGAGGGGCGGAGGAATCGAACTCGGGTCGGCCATGTTGGCCGCTTGTAAGGCAGACGCCCTACCCGCTGTGCTATCGCTCCAGCCCAGAAAAATAGGTACAAGCAGCGGTAAGGTGTTCGCCTTAAAAGCGGCCAACATGGGAAAGAAAGATGGCGGCCGCACGGGAGCCTTGTGGACAGCAGGTTTGAGCCGGGGGCAGGGGGCAGCAGGGGCCTCATGGGAAGGGGGGCGTTCTGGGCCGTCCTTCACGCCCGACCGAGGTCACCAGCTGCCCCCCACGAGCGGCTCTCCGGCACGGCCACGACTCCAGAGCACAGAAACCAATCTCTTAACTATCTAACTTTTAATAGAAATACTTCAGGGTTAATAAGTGAAACAGCAGAAATCCAAAACCGCGCGGCTGCGATAGTGGTCGCGTGACATCATTTTATTCTTAAACCAAGCTGTAGAAAGCAAATCATTTCACAACACTGTTTCAGCATATCTGATTGGGGGGGGGGGGGTCGTAAACTCTTAACAATAATTGTGCATCTTCTATCGAAACAATGTATCTAGTCAAAGTATATAGAGTATTAACTAGAACTCATCTGCCTCACAGGAATTGGTAGGGGTGGGAGGTGGGGTTCTATTGGGGTTCATGGTTAAAAATAAGTATTGGTAAAGGGAAAAGTGTTTGATACTTACATGACTGAGACCTAAACCCGAAAGCTCTGTAACTTTTCCCACAGTGATTCAATAAAGAAATAAACTATAAAAAAAAAAAAAAAGCGGCCAACATGGCCGACCCGAGTTCGATTCCTCCGCCCCTCTCGGAGAGCCCAGCAAGCTACCGAGAGTATTCGATATGCCAGACACAGTTAACAACTTATCTAAGAAATTTTAATTTTTTCTGAATGAATATAAATATACCACCTAGTGGTCACATTTAAAATGCCAAATTTTATTATCTAACAGGTAGCTCAATCAATGCTTTTTCTCAATGCTGTACTCAAGTCTACTGAACCAGCTGCTTCTCAAAATATTTGATAGTGACATATTTGAATTTCATATGATCTAATCTGTTTCTCCACAGACTGAAAAGAGGCCACTGTAAGGTCTCTGCTTACTTGGTATGCAAGAGACAGCTCTATGTAAGAACCTAAATACATAAACATCAAAACTTATTGTCCACTTGGGTTGAGAGATGTGTGCCGAATGTAGACTATAGATCAAACACAATGGCCACTCAATGCCTTCACTGCAAACTACAACACCTAAAATGAAAGAGGATATAAGGGATTGCCCTGCCAGAGTGGCAGGGTGGGGAGGGGGGAGATGGGGTGGTGGTGGTGATGGGAGGAATACTGAGATCACTGCTGGTGGAAAACGGGCACTGGCTGGAGGGATGGGTACTCGATCATTGTATGACTGAAACACAAGCACAAAAGTTTGTAACTATGTAACTTACCTCATGGTGATTCCCTAATTAAAAAAAAAACACAAAACCTTGTTCTTATAAAAAAAATCATCTCTTTATAACTATTCCTAAGAAATCTATTAAAAAATCATAAAGGCTGAGGGGATACTTTAAATTATTTCAAGTCATATACAGCAAAAGTATTCTCTTACTTGAACTTAAAATGAAAAATTAGGTACCTTGATAAATTAGGTACCCTGGAGAAATATGTTTTTAAGTATCAATAATAGAGACTCAAAGAGGTTTTTGTTTGTTTGCTTTCCTCAGTTTTGCACCACACCTGGCTGTGCTCAGAGCTTACCACTGGCTCTGTGCTCAAGAATCACTCCTGGCGGTACCCAGGGGACCATATCTGGTGCTGGGGATCAAACCCGGGTCAGCTATGTACACGGCAGCACATTACCCATTGTACCATCTCTCTAACCCCTCAAAGAATTTTTGATACTTTCGATTTTTTTGGCTTTGGTCTGGGGGCCACATTCAGTGGTGCCGAGGGGTCATTCCTGGCAGTAAGTGGTGAACCGTATGAGGGCCGGAGGATCAAACAAGGGTGCAAGGCAAAGGACTTAACTCCTGTACAAGCTCTCTGGCCCAATAGGTGGAGTTTTTTTTATTAGAACACTGGTTAAACAACTTAGAGATTAATATTTTAAGATTAAGTTACCTTCCTCAAGTTTTTTTTTCAGTTCTTCTATTTCTTTCTGAAACTGACGAAGCAAAGCGTCCTTCGGATCTTCATTAATTCTAGCTTTATTTTTAATATTCTTAGCACGGTTGGCGTACCGTAATGTACTGATAGTTTCATCATAATTGTAGTCTGCTGGCCCAATATTGGCACACTGTTAAATTAGAAAACAAAACTTTACTTGACACCAGTTAAAATCACTAATATATCAAAAAGAATTTCTCACTGGAGGACTGCTTCAGCATTACTTAGCCAGAAGACAAGGCCTAATGGTTGAGCATTCTGATCAGTTGATGTGGTACTACCTGGGCCTAACAGTGCTGGGCACCAGTAGGGCCATGCCAGCCCTTTGTTCTATCCCCCCAGCCCCCATAAAGAATTATTTTTTAATTTTTATTATAGCACTATAATTTACCAAATTGCTCACAATAGTACAGTTGTTCCAGACACTAAATATTCCACCAGCAGGGCAGGGTGCCCTTCCCTTCACTGATGTCTCAAATTTCCCACCCACAACTCCAATCCCTGCAAGCACAATCAAATGTACTTCATATTGTTTGTTACAATACAAAGGCAAGCTGAATTATCAAATCTTAGGTCAATAAGTCAATTTGTGGTAATTTGTATAATTGTTGTAATTGTTATAGCTCATAATGATGTGACTAAAGTCATTGTCTGAGACCTTGGTAATCATTTTATTTTCTCCAAAAGAGAATTTTTGAAGTCCATTTATATTCTGGTCTTTGTGAGAAAGAGAGCATCAGCCACATGGATTTACAGACACCTTTATAGACTAGCTCATATGATGTATTTTTAAAAAGGGGCTGAAGAGAGAGAATAGGGAATGGTGTTTGTATTTCATGCAGCCAACCCAAGTTCAATTCCTGGAACCACCAGGAGTAACCTCCAGGTAAAGAACTGGGGGTATGCTCTGAGTACACCACCCCTCCCCCACAAAAACAACCAAAAAAAAAAGAGAGAGAGAAAAGAACTACAAAGTTTTAAAAAGGTACAATAATAGCTATGGGGGTGGCAGGGGCGGGGGGGGGGGGGGTGGTTTTTTTTTTCTTTTCTGCAAATGTACTGCATATCCGGGGCTGGGGAGTTAGAGTGGTTAAGGCACATGCCTTGGGTGTCCTGTTGTGGCCTCGGTGATCCCTGGCACCAAGGGCCTGAACAGCAGAGCGTCCTCTGGCCCTCACATTGATCTTCCACCCAGCTGGCCATTAATAACAGCAGGGGACTCCTGGGTCTCCTGAGCACCTCCTGGGAGGTCCCCCCACCAAATAATGTAAAGCATATCAATTATCAACCCAAAGAATAATGTTAAATTTGCCTGATGATAGCTATACTACTAATTAAATCTTACCATCATGGTTTTTGAATTTCCTCCTAAGGAATCCTGAAGAAGACGGGTCAATTTAGAATTACGATAAGGCACATGAGTGCTTTTTCCATCAACCAAGGCAGAAATTACATTACCAAGGGTAGAAAGTGAAAGATTGATTTTTGTAGCTTCTTTTAGGCGCTGTCCAGTAGCTCCAGTTTTTGCTTGTCTTTCTGAACCCTAGTAATATAAAGATAAAAATAAAAGTAAATCTTTAAATAGAGCATAATCTTCTCAAAGTTAAAAAAAATCAAACAGAGGAAGAGAATTGACTAAGGGTAGAGAAAAAAGCAGGACTCACACAAGTTCTGCTTAAGTTGGGTGTGGAGTACATGGGAGATCATTATACGCTACCTACTTTTTGTATAGGTTACAAATATTTCACAATGAAGAGGCAGAACTATAGTCTAGTGGGTAGGTGCTGTACTCCCAATCCCACCAAAAATAATTCCTGGGTGCAGAGCCAGGAGTAAGTCTTGAGCACTGCCAAGTGTGACCCAAAAACAACAACAACAACAAGAAAAGAAATATTTTACGATAAATAATAAGTTAAACATAATCACTAGAAATAACTTAAAATCACACGGAAATCATACCTCCTCACTTGATTCCTGTTCATACATAAAATAGTCACACATTATTAAGTAGTATTGTTACTTACAGCAAGATCTACAAGATGGAGCTTCCCCATCCTGACATGCATGTTACCATCAACACCTTTCTCACTGCATTCTATAGTAATCGTAAAGATGGCATGGGAGCGAGAACTATGTTCATTCATATTAGTTGCACCAACAGAACCTTCAATAAAGGGGGAAAAATTAAGTATGGTAACAGTGAATACCTTTAAAATAATAAAATATTTGAATAAAACTTTTAAAATATATCTGAATATAAATAACGAATTAATATACAAAATACTTAATTTCACCACAGCAAAAATAGCCAGAGCATGTCTAAAATATAAGTTCGTAAATGACAGCCAAAAAACTTACATTTCTCACATTAAAGAAGCAATATACCTGGCAATGCTCGGGGAACATATGGGGTGCCAGGGATTAAACCTGGGTGAGAGGCTTGCAAGGCAAACGTCTTACCTGCTGTACTATCTCTCTGGCCGCCCATACCCAAGTAGTTTTAAAACACTCTAAGGACAAAATTATATTCCTACTATATATTCATGAAGTGTTTTTCTATGCAAGCATGATTTCATAATTTAAATAATTAAAGAATATCCTTTATTGGCATATGACTACTCTAAAAGTCAGATAACCTGTAGGATAACATTGGTTTGCCCTTCCTCCCTGGCTGCTGGGAGCTTGTGTTTGTTGATTGCCCCAACCTGTCAATTACCTTTGTCTCCTGATCATACTCTGACTTGTAAATATTGTCTTTTTCTTCTCCTTAATGTCCTTTGCACGGTTAGTGATTTCGGAGCAACTGCTTTTTGTATGGATACAGGAAGACAGTTAAAAAGACAAGCCTGTGGCTTGGGAATTAATTGACTCCAGATAATAAGCCTCCTGGACATCTGCTCTCTCGACTTAAGCCTCAGTTGCTCTTACTTCCTAGATCCCCAAAAGCAGGGTCCCAACGAGGGACTGGATGGACCCAGGGCAAGCAGTGAGCTATGAGCTACCCTGGCATTGAAATGGGCCTGGCCGAAGTGCCCTAATGCTTAACTCTAAGTTAAGAGCTTGGTCATGGACAAATTCTGTCATGATCCAAAAAGTAATAACTAGATTTGGACCCTGCTGGGTTTAGGGATGATTGATCCGACTTGAGCACTGTAGTCTGAGTCTGTGGTAAGATGTCTCCAGGAAAGTCATCATACAAGCCTAAAAGTGTCTATTACTGTGTCCATACAGAATGGTAAATATTATAAAGGAGAATTAAATATGTTAATTAAGTTGCAGGCCTAAGGAGAGGACAAATACATCTTAAGGGCTGTTATGCCCTCGTGGGCTGCAGGTGATCAGGAAGTCTGGAAAAACGCTTTTGATCACACTTCCTGTGGGGAGGCGTGGTTGGGGAGGTGTGGTGAGAGGATAAAAAAGAGTGGCTGCGGGGAGAAAGGGATGGATTGAAGGTTGGATGTATTGATGGTTGGAGAAATGGATTGATGGTTGATTGATGGTTGATTAGAGAAATGGATCGATGGATCAGTTGAAGGAGAGGGGACTGAAAAAGAGACAGTTGCGGAGACAGCGCAGAGAGATAGAGGAGACCGATACAGCGAGAAGAAAGAATTGTGCAGTTAAAGAGAGATACACAGAGAGGGGGTTGGACAGAGCTGGGAGAGACAAGAGATTGAATAAATGACTAATCAGCAACCATACTGGCCCTCGTTCCTCCTTTGTCCGTCCTAAGCAACAGCCATCTCGGGTGAATAAGCAGCTCGAGAGCACCGAAAGAGAGCGGAAAAAGAGCCGCCCCAAGGGCCCTCGAACATCCTTTCACGTGTAATCCCCGAGCGAGTGAGGGGCTTACACAGGCCTGCGGTTGGAGGTTTGCAAAGCCCAAGCGAGCAGAAGAGAGTTTTTTACAACAACCAATTACTCATTAAAAGGTAAATGAAAAATTAGTAAAAAATAAAAAGAATATTTCAGTCCGTACTTAATTTTCTATTCTTGTATATAATATACATGTATATGTATATAAGTGTATACTTTTTTTTCTTTCGTAATTCTATACATTGAACTTCGGACTTTACACATACTATACTACTGAGCAATACTGCTGGCCCTAGTCTCTTTAAAATAACATTATGGATTTATGGATATTTCCAAAAATATTAAAATCCATTAAATCTGACTCTACTCAATTATCTAATTAGCAGTGCTACACTTCTAGTATTAATGATGCTTCCATATTAACTTATTTTTCCACTTAACATTATTTCTATATATATATTTCCAAGTAAAAATCTGAAATTAAACTGAAATTGATTTTTTTATTCCTTTGCTGAGAAATATCTGAGATTTTTTTCCCCATTTCCAAATAGGTCTCACTTGGAACATTAATATGAGCAGTTGTAAGCAAATAGCTTTTTTCCTATTTAATTTCCCTCAAATATTATTTCCCAATTGGAATCAAAAGCATAAGGCCAAAAGCATAAGAATCATTTTATAGCTATTTAACTATTAAATCATACTATATGATTTATTCATTCATACTATATGATTTATTTAGATCGTATTATAGTAGCATTTTTCAATTTGGAATGGGAGAAAACATAATTTAAAATAATTAAGTATTTTAATATTGTTTTCATAGTAAAACATGTTACACATGACTGTGATTTTTTTCAAATTTCTAGTTATAAAAATAAAGCCATGCAACAGACATTCTGAAAAGTGACCTAACTTTATAATCCCTAGGAGAGAACACCTTGCAGCAATCCAGTAAACTCCCTGCTCCATCCTACTGACACTGAAAAGAAAACAAAATACACATTTATAATTTTAATGCTGTCAAAATATTTTGGAAAAATCTGGCTCTGGAGAGATAGTACAGCAGGCAAGGCATGCAGTCAACCTGAATTCAATCCCCAGTGTACATATGGTCCCCCGAGTCCATCAGTAGAGATTCCTGAGTGCAGAGCCAGGAGTAATACATGAGCACTGCCAGGTGTGGCCACCCCCAAAAAAAAGAGGGAGAATTTTAATTTTTGTTTGTCAAGAGGATTAAAAAAAAAGTATGTTGTAAATATATATATATGAGAGATGGGGCTGAAGCGATAGTACAGTGGGTAGGGCATTTGCCTTGCATGCAGCCAACCCGGGTTCAATCCTTGGCATCCTATATGGTCCCCAGAGTCCCACCAGGAGCAGTTCCTGAGTGCAGAGCTAGGAGTAAGCCCTGAGCATCATTGGGTATGACCCAAAAAGAAAATAAAAAAACAAATATATATGACAGGTATACTTGTGTATATATGAATATTAACTGCAGTGTTACTAATAGCAAGACTAAAAATAACCCAACAATGTCCATCATTAATAATAGACTGGGTAGGGATCTGGAGGATGGCTCAGTGGCTTCAAGTTCAGTAAAGGCCTGAATGGAAATCACAGTGCTACAAGCACCAAGGTAGTCCTGTCAGCTCTGCCTCTTGGGACACCTGAAAAATCAGGCTATCATCCCTAGCAAGAGGAAATACAGAGACTGGGTGAAAAAATGATGCTAGATACAAGGAAATGCTATAAAATTATTTTAAATGCCTGTATATAGTGTGTGCTAATGTAAAATGATCTTCAAGAAAATACTAAGCAAATTAAGAAGAATACTGTGAGACACTATATAAACACACAGACTGCCACTAACATGAGACACTAATAAAAAGGTTACTGCCAGTCACAAGTGCTGAATGATTCACAATGAAGGGTAAGAGAGACTTGTTCAATGCATGCCTTGCTACCTTTGAATTTTATAACCATGTGTTTGGATTATTCTTCAAAATGACCACTTTTTAAATGACTTATGGTTGAAAGGAAAAAAAAATTCTCTTCCTGATTCACAACGATACCCATAATGTATAGGTTCTGATTTTGAATTTTCATTTTGATAGGTTCTAGATTTTCTTATGAGATGACTTTTTTTCTAATAGGAGCTATTCCAGAGGAGTAAGTAGGGGCCACCTGCCTGCACAGGTGCCCTGACAGGTGGTGTTCAGGCCACTAGGCTTGCACCAACAATGCTCACAGGAGACTTATGTTCTCAAGTGTAAAATTAACCACTTCCATAGTGTGAAAAGCTTTACAAAATATGTACCCAAATTATATTTTTATAAATTTTCACCTTAAACATAATGTCTTTATAAGGTTGGAGAGATTACAGAAGATAGGACACTCTTTTTGCGTGCAGCAGGTCTGATTCCCTGTATCTCATAGAGTTCCCTGAGCACTGCCAAGAGTAGCTCTGAGTGCAGAGCTAAAAACTGCCATGGAGGCAGGGGGAGGGTGAAAAAGGGGGGCTATACCGGGGATATTGGTGGTGGGGAATGTGCACTGGAGGGATGCATGCTTGATCATTGTGTGACTGTAACCCAAACATGAAAGCTTGTAACTATCTCACAGCGATTCAATAAAATTTAAAAAAAAAAAAAATATATATATATATATATTTTTTTTTTTTTAAAAAGAGCCTCACAGGGTGTGGCCCAAAAACCAAAGAAAAATGCTGTCACTGTGGTGCTGGAGACCAAACACAGGGTCTGATACACGTAAACATGTGCTGAGTTACAACCCTGAAACCAAGTTTTCATTTAAAGTAACTCTCACTGCTTTATTTTCCCCATACCCATGCTTCACTTCGAGGGAGGAAGTCGGACTTGGTGAAGCCCAGGGTGAGGGAAACTTGAGACTCTGCAGCACAGGGATCAAACAAAGGGCTCTCCTGGGCCTCTGCAAACTATACCCAGTAGCCTGCTGTGCCATTTCCCCAGTCTCTAGGGCCCCTGTTTTGCTCTTGATAGTTACTTCACTAAATTTCAACATGATGAAGTTTTATCTCTATATTGAAACTTTTCTTTTTGGCTAAAGATGAAATATTTAATTCTTTAATTATATTGAGTACTTTATTCCGTTCTGGCAACTCCCTTATTTTCATAAGATATTTAGCATGTTACCGAAAAAATTTAATATTCCAAGTTTCTTAATTCTCAGGCAGTTAATGGGAGATTTTGGTCATTATTATAAATGAAATTTTACATTAAAAATATTATTTAGGGGCTGGGGAGATAGCACAGAGGCAAAGATATTTTTTATTTTTTTATTTTTTATAATTTTATTTATTGAATCACC